AGTGAATATTTTAAAAGTAAGATTAGAATTATATTAAATAATTAATATAATTGGTTTGATTAAGTTTAGCTATCTACAAACTCGTATTTTGCTATTTAAAAAAAATTCAAATTAAAAAGTAAGAAATAAAGAAGCTATAACGATAATAGTAAGAGAATAAAAGTATTTATATGTATCTATATATGTACTTATATACTTATATATATATATACTTTTAATGAACCCGTGATATTAAACTTTTTTTAAAGTTTTACTTTTCAATATCAAATACAGTTTAATTAAATACCTATTAATCAAATTATGATTGATATTAGTATATACGTATAACATAATAGTACAAGCTAAAATCAATATATAGTATATACGTAAATAATTTATATATATAGAAATTGACTTGAAAAATATAGCAGCTCAGTATAATTTATGTATAGATGATATTTTAAGAAGAAAATAGGCCCAGGTTATCGTTAAGGTAGCTTGGGTCAATTTGCTAAAATAGATTAGATCTAAATATATTATATATTATAGTCAATATAGAAAAAAAGATAGATATAGTGTAAATATATTAGTAGATAGTAATGAAAATTTGTATAAAGACTTAATATTTATCTTGAATAAAGATAAATAATAATACTTAACAAGTTCCAATTTAAGTATTTTCTAATAATATGTAATCTAGAGCATTATTTGGTATATATATATAGTATTAAATATTTAATATGTAGTATTTGAATAGATAGTTAATATGTATATCTTTTATCTAAAATAGATTTTTCATATTCATCAGGATATTAGCTGTATAATATATCCAAAGTAAAAGAAAATATTTAATAAAGACTTTTCACTCTTGAGACAGACATTCTTCGTAATTCAAATAAATCTATCTTCTATTAATTATATACTTTTCTTACACTATATTAAATACTTACATCCTGATCTACTGCTTAAGAACATAAATGATATAACCTTATAAAAAAAAGTTATTCTAAATATGTTATATCTTTGTTAGCCCTCATACAGTTTTTATTCAAAATAAAAGCATTATTGTGCAGTGTTTGTACTGCTATGTAAAAATCAAAAAATATTAGCTTATCGACAATTGTATAAAAATTATACAATTTTATAAATTTGTTCAATATTTATTTAATAATTATATGGAATAATTGTATAATGATTTATAATAATAAAATTGTCCAATTATTTTGGTATAAGATTTGTACAAAAAGTATACAGTGTTTTTGCTTTATTATATTAGTAACTATAATAGCTACTGTATTAACTAAGATATACTGAAATTATATTGTAATTGTACAATAAATAAACAGAAATAGTTCTGGTGAATTAACATTTCTAACCAGCTATATTTACTATACTACAGAACAAGTGAAAAAGATAATTTAAAAAATATCATTGTTCATTGTCAACTTCTTTGTCTACAATATAAAATAAATTTGCAATCTCAATAAACCCAACACAATAATCAATTGCAGATGCGTCAATAAATGCATATGCATCCAATCGTCTAAATGATTTTAAACCAACATTATCTTTTTCAACAGATGACATCCATTGAATATAAGCTAACATTGCTTTAGACCCTTCAAATTCATATGTTAAATAATACTCAACAATAGCATAGAAATCTTGAACTTCAAATACTGATAGTTGTTTTGGATAGTTTGCATAAATATCAACTTCAATTTTTACCATAATGGTGTAATTAATTCATGACCAATCTTCATTTGATGAATCCATTTTGATCCAATATAATGACCATCTTTTGTTCTAAGCCGCCCATATTTTGTTCCTTCGTGGCTAAAAGACATAAGTTGCAAACCCGATACATCTGATATGGTGGAGAAATGTTGTTTAATTTTTTTCAATTCGCTTTGTGACAGCTTGTAATTGGCTGAGGGAAAATAAAAGTCTTGACCATTTTCTCCAGTATAAGCAAGGTGTTTATCATGTATTTTGGGCGAAATTGGTGGGAAAATTTGATTATAAATCATTCGATTAAATTTTAAACAATTAAAAGTTTCAATTAATTGAATGTTATTAGAAAGATTTTTATAAGGATGAAGCCTTGATCTTGTTAGTAGAAGTAGCATCCCACATACCCTTTCTATTGGATACTGCCATGTTGTGCAACAAGGTCCAGTTTGTAAAATACTTTCAGATACATGTAACATATAATGTATGCACATCTTCATTGCACTTAAGCGCTCTGATAATCCACAGTAGTATTCTTTTTCATAGTGTAAATAAAAAGATAATAAGCATAATTTAATTTTATTTAAATTATCATAAGTTATTATTTGCTTTTGACATAGCCGGACGGCTTTTACAAACAATCCCCAACCCTCATAGTATTTTTTTGGCAATCTATTTTTAAGAAATGGTAAGGAATACATTGTAATCCAATTTGACCATTCTTCGGCTTTATAGCCCTTGTGATATAAAATGATATTTCGCAATGAACGGCCAAGACTTGAGGGTATTGTTTTTCTAACTAATTCTATTTCTTTTCCGATTTTATTCCATGTTTCTTTAGCTAAAACATATTCACCATTGTTTTGATTATGGTCTGCAAAAAATGAACTTGTCCAATGAGCAAGCATGTAACCAGCGATATTTTCATAAAATAGATGCATAATATCTACTAGAAATGTCTTTGGAAAGCTAGTAGAGGTAAGATTAAATAGAATACTCTTTTTAAAAGAAATTCTATAACTGCTTGATTTTGTTCTAATGTTGTTTGTGCATTTTGAATTTTTCGTATTTGACTTTTGTACTCCTTATGGGACCTGAGTGGTAGATTTTCTGGGTCATAAGTTTCACCTTCTTGATCTCTGGGTGGTTTTGTAGGGTAATATATATGTGAAAAATAAATACCCTTTATATTACAATAACGACACCCTTTATATGAATTATGACCCGTTAGGCCCATTAATTTGGTAAGTGCTGGTGTATCACCAGACCAAGAAAGCACACATCCATGGAGTACAAATGTACCATTATACTTAATACTAGGGCATTCTACACCTTCCTCTAATCGGTGCAATTCTGCAACAGCAGGAGATAAAAAAGAATTTAGATCCTTCGGTCCTTTAGAACCAGGTATAATTGTGGATATGAGAAGATTTTCTTTCTTTACACGTTGCTCCGGTGGTAAGTTGGCATTTATGAATAATAAAATCCAACAATCATTTGTTTTTTGTTTGAAAATTTGAAAACCGTCAATTGATGCTAGTAACGCGACATCATGTTTTTCTTTAAAATGTCCTTTTTTTACAAGATTTTTATATCGCTGACCATCAAATACATCTCCAATTATTTTATTATTATAGTATTCTGGCCTTGATACATATTCTGCACGATAATGCAAGTTTTTCACTTGTGTTGCATCTTGATATTGAATTATGAAACGATCAATAATCAGGAAGTATGCAAATTGTCGATGTGCTTCCCGTTGTTTGTTTTTACGAAGTCGATCTTGATATCGGCTTTTTTTACAATATGGGCATTCAGTAAGACTGCTATAATTACCAGTATAAGCACAACAAGTATTAATGCACATGTCTATC